CGTTGACCAGAGCAGCAGCCTACAAAAGCGCTAAGAAACCACTTGGGGCCGACATTCAGAAGAGTAAACGGAACTGCTGGAAAGCGTTATGCGACGAAGGGGATTGTGATCCCTAGGGCCATGGATACAATATAGTCATGAAAAAGTTGCATACACCATCGCAAGCGATGGATGAGGTCCGAGTTAAGAATATAGTGGACTCACTATTTCCCACACAGAGCAGATAGTGTTCGTCGAGGAGCAAGCCGAAGCACCACTGTTTTCGGCAGACGAGCTGAAGTTAGCCCTGCGAAGCATGAATGTCGGGAAGGCTCCAGGCCCCGATGGCATACCATCGGAGGCAATCAGGTTAGCAGCAAAAACCAGCCCTGATCTCCTGCTTAACATGTACAACAGCTGCCTTAGAGCCCGGGTCTTCCCAAGCCAGTGGAAGAAGGCGAAGCTGGTGCTTATACCCAAGGGCAAAGGGGACCCAAACTCTCCTTCATCTTTCCGGCCACTCTGCATGTTAGACACAGCAGGCAAGATGATGGAGAGTCTGTTCAAAATACGCTTGACGTCAGCCATAGAAAACGAGGGAGGCCTGTCACCCCCGACAACATGGCTTCAGAAAGGGACACTCAACTATAGGAGCAATTAGTGAAGTAGTCGAGGTGGTACATAAAGCCGAAGAAGCCTGCCGCCAGGCGCGGCCAATAGTGCTGCTAGTCACACTGGACGTCAAGAACGCCAACTCGGCAAGATGGGACGACATGCTGGAGGCCTTGGAACGGTCATTCAAAGTTCCAATATACTTGCTAGATATGATTCGGGACTACCTCAGAGACCGTTGGCTTTTGTACGACACAACACAAGGTCGAACAAAAAGACGTATAACCGGCGGCGACACAGGGGTCTGTACTTGGCACGGACCTCTGGAACGCCACGTATGACAGTCTGTTGCGCACGCGAATGCCAGAGAGCGCCTTCCTTGTCGCCGTCGCGGATGACATGGCCGCCGTCATAACAGCAAGAAACATCCTGCTAGCGCAGCTAAAGCTGAACCAGGTAATGCGCAGCGTCAGTGGATGGATGAGCAATCACGGTCTGCAATTGGCTACATCCAAAACAGAGATGGTGCTCCTCACCAAGAAACGAATCCCAACAATTACAAACATAATGGTCGGACCTCAGCCCGTGACAACTTCTAGGTCCACAAAATACGCAGGGGTAAAGCTTAACAGAAAACTTACATTCTGGGAAAACATTCAAGGAATATGTGAAAAAGCTGCACAGAGCACGGTGGCTCTAAGAAGGCTGATGGCGAACGTGGGCGGCCCGAAGCCATGCCGTAGGAAACTTTTGATGACAGCAGTCCAGTTGGTGCCCCTGTACGGGGCAGAAATATGTGCCGACGCATTGAAAGTCAAAAAATACCGGATTCAAATATCTTCGGTCCAGCGCAGAGGGGCACTACGCATTGCTTTTGCATACCGTCCAGTGTCCGCGGACGCGGTTCTAGTTATTTCTGGCGTCATGGCAATTGAGCTACTTGCGTATAAGCGAAAAAAGATTTACAATCTCAGTGCCGAGATAGGCCAAGCTGCTGCCGCGGGAAGGGCACGCGAGCAACTGATCCAGCAATGGCAACAAAACTGAAACGCGAGCACAAAAGGTCGGAGGACGCACACCCTGATAGCTCACCTTCAAACATGGTTGAAAAGACCGCACGGGGAGGTCGATTTCTAACTGACGCAATTCCTCACCGGTCATGGTAACTTCCGAGAATATCTTTATAGAATGGGCAGGGTAGACTCACCGTTCTGTCACTACTCTGGAAACGTCGAAGATAACGTACACCATACATTCTTCACTTGCGAGCACTTCTTGTCTTCGCGGAGAATGTTGGAAGAAAGATACGGAGACAAACGAGAAAGATACGGATGCAAACGAGAGGACGGATGTCTACTGAGGACTCCCGAATGAAACGCCCCTACAAAAGAGCAGCCTTGAGGCTCAAGTAGCGCGCTCCTGCATCTGAAGACATGCAGAACTTCGGTGCCAGATGCAGGACCCTTGCGCAGGCGGACTCTCCTATGAACACAAAAAAATTATAATAATATAATAATAATAATACCTCTTAATACTTGTATCAAGGTAGTAAATAACCGAAATAAATCTAAATTGAATTCAGATGTCTGGGTTGCGTGAAAATTGCTTCATCAATCGGGTTGAGCGTATGCAAAGTGTATAAATCATGCTGAAGAATATTTTGAAAGCCAATAAGACCATTTTTACATATAAAACTTTTTTTTTTTTGGTAGGTATTTTAGGGACTTTATTGTTTCTCGTAGTTAATTTATTTCTCAGCTTCAAAACTAACCTTGGTACTTTATTCCAGTTATTCTTCTTGTTGCTTATATTTTCTCTAGCAAACCTTTATTCTAATTTCAAATACACTAAAATTACCAAATTCATTTTATTGCCTTATATAATATTATGTTTTTCAAAAACTTAATTCTTCTATACAATACCACATAGAAGCGTTTGAACTCTCCGTAAGTTGCTCCTTTTGGACAAGGTTATACAGTAGTGATAACAGCTCTTCCAGCTTTTTTATTTGATTGCTATACGCCAAAATTAATATTGTCCATTTCGAAAGTGTCTTTATTACTTGAACATCTTTCGATAGCACCAAATGTTGAAAATACGCATGTAATAGCCCGTCAAGCCAACGAATAATTTGCATTTCAAATTTTAAATAGCTCGTTTCAGTACAAAATGGTTCCATAGGCGATGGTTCGGTTAATAGTTCATAAAAATAATCAAGGAGAAATAATAGCCCAAAAGAGCCAAAATCACTTCGAAATTGCTCGGTTAGTTCTGTTTTTCGAAATGTTCTAGTGCCACAGGAAGTCAGCATGTTTCTTGCAAAGTATTTGTGTTTTAAAATTTTCGGATCACTTTTGATCACCATGGAAAAAAAAACTTTAGCAAGTATTGATTCAGGCGCACTCGAAAACCGACTCAACAAGATCATATTTTCAGAACTGCACTCTAATTTTGACAACAAAACCAGTAATTTCTCTGACATCTCTTGTCCAGTAGCTCCGCAGTTTTCGTATTGGCGAGCGAAGAATTCAAAAAGTGTTCTATTTATTAGCTGTGTATCTAAAGGTGTTTCGACTACAGCGATGATATCATCTAAAAATGACTTTTCATGATCAACTTTTACAAAAGTTTGATTTTCTTCGCCTAGGCAAGAATAGTCTCCTAATTTTTCCAATATTTTCAAATGATCTTTTAAATCTTTACCCGTGGAATCGCATTTGAAATTAACAGCCTTTTTTCGGAAGATACATGAACTTTCTTTAAATGAACAAAATGATTGATGATAATCCTCCTCATTTATATGATCACCTTCCATTCTTGTGTTATTTTCACCACTATACGTTCCTAGTAGATCTATTAAAAGTTCTTGAGACATCCGGTATGTAACCACAGATAAATTTTGTCCCATAGCTATTATAATATTTTCATCGATGCTCCAAATTCGAGAACAGTCAAAAAATACTTTGAAGAATTGTTGAGCTTTAGCAACTTTAAATTGTGTGTTGTAGAGAATTAATGAAGCACCTTCTTGATTACTGTTAGCTCCATAAATAGCTACACAATTTTTCGCTATTCCTAAAATTGATAAAGGAGTATCCACTTTAAGTGTGGAAAGGATTGATACAAAGTTTCCAGGTGACTTTTCCGATTCCACATTTTCATCAAGGTTTAGCAAAAACATCCTTTGGTCTGACCCTGGAAAGTTTTTGTCAATTCAAATATATATTCAAAGTTTGCTTCAAAATACTTACATATAGTTAACAGCATAAAATTATTATCCCCTTCAACAATGGCATATCCAGATAAATCAACAGTCATGTCCTTACGTGTAATTTTTAAAATATTTTGTTGGCCTCCAACCTTTAATGGTAACACCACAAGATGCATTTTTTTATTGTCTTCCGCTTGTACAAAGTATGTTAAGACTTGTGTGTCATTAAATAGACCTTTTACATTGACATCTTTAACACTACTGTAGTTTAAATGAGTGGCGTCTAAAACAGTAGATACAGAAGAATCTTTCCGTGGAGTAAGTGCCTCAGATAATTTATCCCAATCGCCATCAGCATATAGGATTATAGCACCAGTTTCTGTAGGTACAATGGCAACTGCTGATTTCTGTAGCTATAGTTAAACTATTTTTAGTTTACTGATTTATATAAGGTTAACAGTTTACTAACCTTTATTTTTTTAACACTGTTTATATCAGCAGTAAATCCATTCCAACAACGAATAAAACGATTTCCAAAGATGCCTATATATTGGTTACTATTATTGTCATATATAACTTTATTTGACAATTTTTCTTGAGTAGACCAACTACAAACTTGCTGCTGTGATGAAATCTGCAAGAGAAATTTATTACATTTCATAATCTTTTGTCATTCATATCATGCTCCTCCATGTTGAAATAATAATGTGTTGTCACTTAGGAGGTGGTTGTTGTAATTTTGGCAACTGTGGCAAACCAGCGTTACAGTAATTCCTACTACATTTATTCCAATTTTATTTCTGGGCAAAATGAAACAAAAAATGGAGCAGAGAGCAATGGAAAAAGTAAGCGTTCAAAATGAAACAAAAAATGGAGCAGAGAGCAATGGAAAAAGTAAGCGTTTGTATCACTGTTTCCTTGTTCCTCTTTTGCTTTGACTTTTCGTTTCAAATTTATTGGAAAATCTAAGCCATAATTTGCAATAATTGGGTTTTTTTGTAAGTAAATTTTTGGTAAAATATGGTGGACTTGGGCGAGCCTAAGATATTGACCAAAAATTGTCATCTTTCACAGATTGTTCTTGGAGCATTATGAACCATATTTTTGCTATTACCAATCAAAATTCTGAAAAACGGATTTTCGGAACACGTAATATACATGTGCATATTGATGAAATCTAATTGGCTATATATGTATATCTGCATATAGGTTGAGCTATTAATCCCAAAAAAACAGCGATTTATTCAAGAGAATTTCATGTAAGTTTCGCAAACTTAAAGCATTTATTTTTGGAAAAACTAATACATATTACCCACAAAAGGTTTTCAGAAGTGGCCTTTTAAGTTTTAGATCGACAAGATATTTCCGAACGAAGGTGGAAAGAAGTCATGGTGACAGTTGATAAAAAAAAAAANAATATTTCACTTTGAAATGTAGATGCTAAAGATTATTAATAAAATAAAGTGTGAGCACCGGTATGTCAGGTCTTGAAATTATACGCATGTTTTAGAGAACTTTATGTACTTTTGCATAATTTCGCGAAAAGAATTTTTCTAACAATAGAGAATCTCCTCAAATATTGGGAGAAGAGAATATTTGCACTTATGTAATTTTAAATAAAAACCTTTGTTTTCTGAGGGTGGAAAGCAGGAAACAAAAATTAACCAAAATTCAATCACTGTTAATGACTGGGCCCACATTTTTTGTTAGATTCTGACGTTATAGTGATCCAATTCTCCCCATATTTTATATTGGAAGTTTTCTAGTAAAAGAGAGAGTACAAACTAAAATATATCGGAATAGGATGAAATTTAATGTTTCCGTCCATTTTTACCAAATTTCTATTCCTATTCCTAAGTAAAAT